CCCATCGGAGAAATTGAGCTTAACGGAAAACCAGTGTCAAAGTGTGTGCCTGAGTGTGGGTTATGTTTGGCGCGGTGGTGTGTGATGAAATTTGATGTGGTTTGTTGTAGCGATGTGGTGGTTTGTAACGCGGCAAAGTGCAAACGGGGGATTTGAGATATGGTGACGTGCAAGATGGTGAGTGCAAAGTGGAATTTTGTGATGCTGCAGTGTCATGAATGTGGTCGTTTGCGATGTGGTGATGTTAGGATCTTCTGCTATCTGAACAGCTGTGGAAACACACACTTTTGCCCCACTGCCCCACCCGCGATCAAGCATACTTTCGTATCTTGAACACTCTCCTTTGACAAGCTCGAATCTCTGCTCATGCTCATCTCCTCTCTTGATCTGAGAGGCTATGTCGTAGAGCTCAGTGGAGTTGGCACGCTTGTCCTCTACCATTCTGAGCGCCTGCAGACTCACTCCGCGGATTTCATGCAATTTGCGCATGACGTGCCCCAACTGGCTCCCACTGAGTTCACACATACACTCATACACTCATGATAGGACGCTACTAGTAGCTCCTGGTTACTACTAGGAACAAGAAGCTACTAGGAACAAGGGCATCGCTACTAGTAACAAAAAGCATCATTATTACTAGTAGCAACCGGTGAGTCCTTCCAAAGCTCCCCGCCTTTGAAAGCCATTTGAGGCGGGCTTCAGGCTTTAGGGATAAAGCAGTCTTAAGATCGACCTGCACCTGCCATTGCCACTAGCGCCAGGTGTGCCACAGAGTATCTAAGCAAACTTTGACCCGTGCCTCGTCCACATTCTCTACTATCCTTTTTACTTCTCCTGATTTCGAACCAACTCACGCTATGTATGGCACATGGGTAGGGTGTGTACTAGAGCGCCCCAAGACATCAGCTTCATCCCAAATGGACCGTCTGGGTGCAGTTTTGTGCGTGCCCAACATTACCTTTTTTTTCATTTCATGACCTTGTTGCACTGGAAGCCACGCCCAGACATGCCCGGCATGCCCTACGCATGCCGAAGGAATGGCAAGACACGTGTCTTTTCTGGTCAAGGTTCTTTTCTGGCGGGTCACAACCTCTGCAGGCAATCGCCGATTCAGAGGGTTCGCATCCTCGCCCGACATGCCAAGCCCCCCGTTTCGGAGGACGACACATACACGGGACCACCTGCCAGCTGCTTCTGTCTCTTGAGCCAGGACTGCATTGTAAACAAGCAGCTGCGACATCTCAGCAAACCGCAAGCCCTGAAACCACCTTTCATGAAAGTTCAATCTGATGGAGGGCAGTGACACTGGCAACAGCTGGATGGGACAACCATGCTAAGGCCTGGAATATCCTGGGATCGTCAATAAAAAGAAGTCCTGCAAGCACAAGCGGGCTCGGTGGTGCACAAAGCCTTGACTATGGCTATGGCAAATTTCGTCCTCCCATGCCAATCCAGAGCCATAAAACACACGAATCCAATACACTAGGAGGTTTTGAACAAAGAACTGTCGAGTCTCGTGTTCAAGGATGCGCGCGAAGATGCGAAGAATGCTGAGTTGCAGTGAATCTGAATGTAGTGGGCTGCATGCACATTTCGGGAAATAGGCAGCCGAATGCCCTTTGCAAGAAAATGGCTGCAGAACTGGTTGGGCAAAGGCAAGGCCAAGACATCGTCTTCCACCGTGCAGCCGCCAAGCTAAGAGAGAACCCTCACTTAGGACGTGGCAAGCGATGCCCCCGGCCTTATCTTGTTTCCCAAGGAGCAGCCCTTTCAAGCAACGCTCTCTCCGCTCATGCCACTAGACTGAGGTGCATTACATCCAAAGCCACAAGGTGAGTCCTGAGCCAGCTGGGATTAAAAAAGCTCTGGAGGTGAGAATCTGCTAGGACGTGCGAGCTGGTGTGGCGTTTGGCCAGGGCTGGTGCAGCTTCCCATTGACAAGGTCATCCAGGAGATCCTGTCCACAGCTGATCATGGACTTCGATGGAGCCGTGCAAGCGATTGTCCTTCAACTGCACGTGGTCGGTTGCCCTAGTCCAATGTATGCTCACCAAGATTCCAACCCTCCAACCCTTTCACTTTCTGGGTGCGAGGCCGTCTCAAATCTCTTGCTGAAGTAGCAAGAATGTCCTCTTGACAGCTTGCCAATGCCAATGTGCCATGTATATATCAAGTTTATTTCTCACACTTTTCAGTGTGGCAAGTGATGTTACATCGGCCTCCGCCATGCAGCATTAGGGAGGCACCGCAAGCTGGCCATATGCACATTTAGGGCTACTGAATTGTTGAAAGCCAGTCTTATGACAATCTCAATTGCCGGGGATATTGCAAAAGTGAGATCTATCTATAGTTTGCGTAGGTTCGACAGGAAAGAGCTCAGAAGAGGCCAAACTTGTTCACGTACACAATCTGGCCGCATGATCTCAAGAACTCAAGAACTGTCAAAGCAACCTCCACCGCTTCCCACGACAACTTTTGCTCTCGCATCAACCCCACATTCCTGTACATTGTGAGAGCTCAAAGGGTGTTCAACAATTTGAACACCGCGGCAATGTCTGGGTTGCGGCCAACCTCGATCAACGGAACTCCCGAACGGGACAAAAAGTTCGACGAATGAGCACTGCAAAAACATCCAAAGAAAGCCACAAGGACGGAACATGGGGAATTCGCGACCTGAGTCTCTGAGGGCTGAATTGACAAACAGCTTGGCGTCTTCGCTCACTTGGCTGTTGGCTCTGCATCTTTTATCAGCGGTCGGATCTCCGCCAGGTATTTCCGGCCAACAGACACGATGCCTCAGCGCCAGCCAGTGTGATCAATTCCACTTGACATTCCTATTGTGTGTATATATATATATATTTGCTTCTCCCTCACAGAAAAAGAAGAGGAGAGAGAGGAGAGGAAATGCAGAAAAGAATACGGAATGGTAAGCTAAAGTAAGGTAGAACATAAGGTGAAGGCAAGATAATGGAGTGGGGTACGGCAGGCCCAACACGGGATAAAAATATTGATCTAAATGACTATATACCATATAAAGTCCACGAGCACAGACATAGCTCCAGTAGGGACAAAAAAAGTCCATCAAGCGCAGTGCTGAATATCAAGACTTGAGGCGACGGAGGTGGATGAAAGGTAGAGGTTAGAATTTTCTTATTAGCAGAAGCAAGCAGCCAGCAGAAGCAGCAAAGCAAAAAGGTAGCACCAGCACCAGCAGCAGCAAACGAGCAAAGCAGCAGCTGCAGCACAGCAAAGCAGAAAGCAGCAGTAGCAGCAGCAGCAGTGGCAGCAGCAACGGCCGCAACAGCAGCAGCAGCAGCAAAGCACCAAAGCTCACACAAGTTTGTCCTTCACAACCCTTGGTTTTCGTTCAGCTTTGGGGGGGTGGCGCAAACGAAATTGAAAGAGGGTGGGGACTTGTCATGGTGGAGGGCGGGGAAAAAAAGCACCAACAGTGCCCCCGAAAGCCACAACACAGGCAATGCACAACCACCCCAGCAACAGTTGCCAGCAGCCTTCAGGATTCAAGCAACAGCAGCAACCAGCAGGAAGCAGCAGCAGCAACAGCCAAACAGCAGCAGCAACCAGCAGCAACCAGCAGCAGCAACCAGCAGCAGCAGCAGCAACCAGCAGCAACCAGCAGCAACCAGCAGCAGCAGCAACCACGAACCACCAGCAGCAGCAGCAGCAACGAGCAGCAGCAGCAGCAGCAGCAGCCGCCGCCGCCGCAGCAGCAGCAAGAAGCAGCAGCAAGCAGCAGCAGCAACCACGAACCACCAGCAGCAGTAGCAGCAACAAGCAGCAACGAGCAGCAACGAGCAGCAGCAGCAGCAGCAGAGCAAAGCACCAAAGCTCACACAAGTTTGGCCTCCACTGCTCCACAACCCTTGGTTTTCGTTCAATTGAAAGAGGGTGGGGACTTGTCATGGTCGAGGGCAGAGAAAGAAAGCACCAACAGTGCCCGCCCCGAAAGCCCCAACACAGGCAATGCACAACAGCAGCCAGCAAAGCAGCAGCAGCCTTCAGGATTCAAGCAACAGCAGCAACCAGCAGGAAGTAGCAACAGCAACAGCCAAACAGCAGCAGCAACCAGCAGGATCAGCAGCAGCAGCAGCAGCCATGAACCAGCAGCAGCAGCAGCAGCAGCAACCAGCAGCAGCAGCAGAAACCAGCAGCAGAAACCAGCAGCAGCAACAACAACAGCGGCAGCAGCAGCAGCAGCAGCAACCAGCGGCAACGAGCAGCAGCAATAGCAGCAACCAGCAGCAAGCAGCAACCAGCAGCAACCAGCACCAGCGACAGCAGCAGCAAGCAGTACAGGAAGGAGCAAGCAGTACAGCAGTACAGCCAGCAGCAACAAGCAGCAGCAGCCAGCAATAAACCACAGATTGCAATAGACCACAGTGGATACGCCAGATCACTCCCAAATTCTCAGCGGCGCACGGTGGAGTCGAATGGGCCCCCTAACATGTAAAACCATTACTAAAACCATCGAAATCAAGCGCGGGAAGAGTTCGCCACCCCCAATATCATATTGCTAAAGCAAAGACAGCTCAGGTAGCCGAAGCTACCTTTCGTGAAGAGAGTTCCAAATCAAATCGGAAACACATTCAGAAGGAAATGCATATGATGAGGGTGGAAATGTCCGAACGCATTCAAGACAGAACAAGAAAAGTGACAATTCCAGAACGAGAAGCAGTATCTATACTATGAAGCAGCTGCATGGTGAGACCAGTTCAAGGGTAGACACGCCATCATGGAGCCAAACGCCAAAACAGGGTACCAGAGGATCTGCCGCTGACACTCCTTCGCTCAAGTTCTCTCATGAAGTACTTACTGGCCGTTGTTGTGGGCCCCAAATAGATGGCATCTTGGCTATAGCCTCATGGTGAAATTTACACCAGCACGATGCAGGCTGAATCAAGGAATGTACGCGAGGCAAAGAAACTAGTCAGCAAGGACCTGGAGGAAACAATCTTTGTCGCTTGCTCTGCCAGGTCCCCTTCCAGGTAATTATTGCACTTTTCAACCAGAAATCCTGTGCTAAAATAGACCAAAGGCTCAAGGTTGTTCACCACTTGTGGAGTTATGCTGACCAAATGCAACTAAAGCCAACCCGAGAAGCACACGGCAAAGTAGGATGTTGCGCAAAGCTGCATCCCTCTCGGCATCCTCATAAGCATTCACCTTACAATTGCAGCCAAGCACTCCAAGTCGTCAAAAGCCACTGAACTTTTTGCCCCAAACCAAGCCAGCTGCCAAGGAGGTGAAAATGGACAAAAACAGGCGTGCCTCAACAATTGAGGCTCCTACTGCAAAAAGATTTTAGAAAGGGTTCGACTAACAAAAGGTGTCAATCCTGTGTTGAATGACATGATCAACTGTCCTATATATGTATATATATATATACATATAACGCTAAGCTTGTCACATTTGCTTGAATTGCACATTCCAGCTCAGCCTGACCTGGTTGGTAAAGAGACTGAAGCGAGCACTGTCTTTTGCACCACTGAGAAATCAGCACTTCTGCAGCAGCACATCTTCCTTGAAGTGCAACGGCTTGGGGGCAACTGTTCTGTGTAGTATCTGAAACGCTCAGACGTAATTACCTTGCATGATTTTGTCTAGCCGTCTAGCATTGCTTGCCTTTTGCAGCTTCTTTGCTATTGCCAAGTCTGCATGAGCTGCTTGGGACCGCTCCAGGCCTCATGAAGTATGTTTTTTGTCCGTGTCGTAGAAACGAAAATTGTTCACATACTGCAGAACGCACCGTGCAGCTGAGTTGTGGCACTTTTCCGTGCAGCATTGCCCACGACATTCCATAGCGGCATGGCATCAGCCTGCATGAGTGGCCCCGAGCCACGGAAATGACACAAAGCAGCGGATGCCTTGAGAGACCCATGACATAAAGCAGTCTCGGCAACAACCTGTGGAGAGATCACCTCGAGCCAAAGGGTCCAAGTTGGTAAAGCACTAAAACTGAACTTACATCTGAAAAGCCACGCCTTCCGTTGGATTAAGCTGTCGAAGGTGATCTCAAGGCCTGAGTCTCGTTGCTGGAAAGACATGTGAAGCGGTAACTCTACAAGCGATTTCCATCCATAAAGTGGGGCACCGTGCGCTGACCTGCTGCCTTCCAGAACTCGAGAACAGATCGAGCTACTGCCTTCTCATAACCTTCAACTGGGCTTCACGGAAAACACCCCAAAGCTTAGCACAAGTGCTGACTGTCATTGACATGCCTGCAAAACTTGATACACAAACAAACGGAGAGTGCTTTCTGAAAAAACATGTTCTGAGGCTTGCTCTTGATGCATCCTCCTCTTTGGACGGCTTCAGCTTGTGCAGCACCTTGCATGCCCATGATCAGCACTGGGGGAAGCGCACACACTCACACACAAAAGAATACTAGAGCACACTCCACAGATTCACTTCTGGAAATGGGCATGTGGCCTCCAAGAATGTGAAAACTATCTCGGCAAGAGACCCCAAGTATTGGGTTCCAGAAATCTACAGGGGTCTGAAAGTCCAAAGGTCTAGAGGTCTTGAGATCCAGCAGGTGATCTACTGGTAAACGTCTAGACATCCCAAGAAATCTAGAGGTCGCAGATCTAGAGCTCTGGAGGTGTAGATTTGTTGGGATCCAAAGAGACCTGGATGTCTAGGCCTGGGGTTCTAGAGGTCTGGCTGCCTAGAAACCTAAAGATCTCAAGGTCTGGAGGCCTGGAGAGATTGAAAGGTCTAGATGTCTAGGGGGCGGGCTGGAGGTCTAAAGTTCTAGAGGCCTGGAAAGATCGAGATCGGAGGCTTACATCTGGAGAAACTTGCAAGTTTCTAGAGATCCAGAGACCCAGACGGATCTAGAGATCCAGAGATCCACCCGCTGAGTTCCAGAGTGGTTTGACGTCTGGAGGTCTAGGGTTGCGCTACAGACCCAGATGTCTTTAGTCTAGGCACTCAGGGGTCGAGCGTCGAGATCGCAGAACGCCGCTGAAGGGATAGGAAACCTACAGGCCTCGAGGTCAAGAAGTCTAGAGTTTGAGGTCTAGAAGTCGGGAGATCCAGGTCTTGAGATACATATAGGGGGACCTAGAGTTCTAGCAGGCCAGAAACATGAGATTGAGGCCTAGAGTCCTACTGTAGAGGTGCGAGAGGACACGCATGAAAGCTTACATATGGGAGCACATCTGCTGAGGCAAACCACGACATCTGCACTTCCAAGTCCACAAAACGCTGCGCCGGCCACGAAATCTGCACCCCGAGGCTCACAAAGGGCTGCACCTGCCACAAAATCTGACCACGAAGTCGTCATTCGCCACGAAAACTGCACATCAAGATTAACATCGCACTGTTTTGTCATGGGATGCAACACGCCAAAGCACGGCTTTCGCTCGAGACTTTTCTGCTTTTTCTGAAACCAAACCACATGTCCAAAGGTCACGACTCACTGCACCCGCCACAAAATCATAGCACACCCAACACCACCATGTCCAAAGCACAGCGCATGCCACGAAATCTGCGCATCGAAGTAAAACTGTTCTGACCTCAGCTCCCACACCTCACGGGTAGTCAACTTTAGTGCCAAAACACGAGTTTCTTTTGCGCCTGCCACGAAAAGTGACACCAAGTCCGACAACACGCACAGTGCCACAACGAGAGCGCAGTCGACTCGACCAGTTTCTGCGAGCCTGCTCGGTCGAAATGCACTTCGAAGAACTCGAGGTGAAAGAACGTAGCGCAAATAGCAGCGAATTAGCCGCCAACGGCCGCGAACACCTTATCAAACACCTGGCCTTAACCATGAGCGTAAGAACCCCTATAATGTGACCACACTGCTTAAGCAAACGTAAAAAAGAACAAATCTATACAAATCTTGTGGCACTCACAAAACACACGAAACTTGGCGCAGCAAAGCCTGATCATGTCCATCCTGGCACGCAAAAATGCACAAGCAATACAAGATGCCGCAGGTGCGAACATGTTCCTCGTTGCTTGTTCTGAACGCCGACGCATTTTTCTGCTACTTCTCGGCGCAACATGACTCTATAGCAACTGGCTCCTGAACCTGTCCAGTTCATCGCCCAGCATGCTTCGCTAGAAGAGTGGGGGCAACTGCGCTAGCCGTTCTATCAAGGCATCAGGATCCTCTCCGGGATCAACATCCACAACCATAGCTGCAGCTGCAGCTGCTTGAGCTTCAGGAGCAAGAGTGAAAAACCCAGAGCCAGGAGAGTCGCCACCAGGGGGGGTCCAACTGAAGATAGGTCTCAACCACTTGGTCTCGAAGGGACGGCCTTACCACAATCATAAAGCGTGACTGTGGTGGTCCCAGCTCCCCCGCTCTTGCAGCTCGCAACAAATCTCCTAGCGCAGGTTCCAAGCCCTCCTTTCGGCGAAGCTCCAACGGCCCAATCTCATCAATGAAAATCCAATCGGCACATCCCTCAGGTCCTTGTCTGTCTTTGCAGGATTCAAGTTCATATTGGGCAGCTGCAAATGCCCCCGGATCAAATGTGAAGTTCCCAATCCTTATGCCCATTATCTCGAGTCCATCTTCTCTTTCACTTGTTTTTCCCCCCTCTCCTGGGGCGCAGTCGAGTTGGAAGGGCAGCACTTCAGAAGAGCTCAGAAGTTTGAGCAGTCGGAGGCTTCTGCGACCATCCCCGGCCCCATCAGGCCCATGCGGGGCCAGAATTCCTTTTACCTTTAAACCCTTTTCATGGAATCTTGTAGCGCTGCGTTGCAAAAATGATGTCTTCCCACAGCCAGGCAAGCCACTGACAATGAAGTACTGAGCTGAAAATGCCCACGAACCTCAAAGGTGCGATGGGTTAATTTTAGGTCCAATTGTGAACCGCATTCAACTGAAGCAGGGAAAGCGGAAAGTGATGGGAAGCCTGCAGAAAACGCAAAAACGAAAAGGAACATCTGAATGACAAACAAAACATTTTAGGTTTAGGAGGCGCCGGGGCCTAAAGACATGTGGCAGGGGAGCTGGTGGGGGGACATGGTTTTCTTGACAGCCCTGGAGGTTCAGCAAAATGCGGTGTTCCAGTTGTGGGATCAAAACATTCGAGCGCTAGCCACACAAGACCCACCACACTTCTGCGCAAGTTTGCGGCTATAGTCTATAGTTGTCCTTTCAAGCGGCGTCTCTGCAGGTGAACGACCTGTTTCTACCACAATGGACGCGCCTGTTGTGATCTTGAGCCAAAGTACCAGGTTCAGGGTGACATGTCTATGATACTGGAGTGTGAGCATGATGTACAGTGCACTCATTAGGACAGGAGCTACGAGGGCAACGGGCCCCCCACACGTAAATGCTTCCAGTTTCAGTTCACACTCATTCACCCTACGGCTCATGCATGCAATCAACTCCAATTCGCACATGCTTCAACCTTTGCAATTATCTTTTGGCACATCGGAAAGGCAAGCGCAACGCCGGCCCTTCAGAAAGCAGAAACGTCACCTGGGCATGGCACACGCTCCCGCGTTGCGAGCAAGCACTACAAAAGCATGCGTCTGGACAAACTCCGGCTTTGGCCTTGGCTTTTGAAAAGACCAGGGCACAGGTCTCTTTCCTAATTCATTGCATGCTTCATTCCAGGAACATGTGCCATAAGAGACGGCACAGTTGAATGCATAGAGTGGCACAACGAGTTGCATCTGTGTCATCTTGTTGGCCTTCTGCGTCACACTCCTGATCCCCGCAAGCCGATCATCGGGAATCATGTCCATATAGACATCTCTACGCGCAAGTCATAGGCGGTCTCTTCCTAATGAGTTTTGCTGCTTTGCACAGATCTGAAGCTGCGTTTTCTTTTAATGCGCCACAGGTGGTGCCATATGTGTAGGCTTTTCGGGTAATCTTCAAGCATTTGCGTTCCTTTTCGAGCACGCCATCTGCTCCTGCCACAACCCTCTATTGCCGGCTGAATTTCTCACCAGTTGAGCCAAGGGCGGTTGTAGTCAGGCAGGAAGTCGATGTTTTGCCCGCGCAACATGAGGACCTCACACGTCCTTTCCTGTGAGCCTCCAACCGCACGATCATAGAGAGCAAGCTTGTGCTCCAACGCCTTGGAGTGCTTCACGGCAAGATGGAAGCATGCCTCCAGAACATTGTCGTCTGGTTCCTTCTTCATGCCATTGTTGAATCCCGTTGGGATCGTCACGCCGGTGGCAAAGTATTCAGTATTCACGGAAGCGAAGCAGAAGGTGCCTTCCCTTAACGCACTTGTTCTCACGAGCTCTCAGCTTTTGAACGCGGCGATTTGACGACCGAGCTGCCCCCTCAGCGCAGTTCCTCAATGAGAGAGCTTCAATGCTGACAGCTTGGGTGCCGACATGGCGCCAATTCGCGGACGGCCTCACGAAAGACATGCTGGATGGCTTTTTCAAGCCCAGAGGGACAATTTGTTTGAAAGAAACTCTTACTGAGGACCGAGAGAAAGAACTGTATAGGGCAGGCTTGAGAAGGGGTCAGCGTGAACGCCGGAAGGCGCGGATGGTCAAGACCCAGTTTTTCTTGACGTGCAATGGATTCAGTGTACGTGGTGGGTGGTTTGCAGTTGTGAAGCTTTGGTGACATGTGTTGACGCTCGCTCCCTTCAGCTCATCGATGTGCGCGTTGCAGCAAAAGCTGCCTGCTTTTGCTTTGCGCTCCCCTTTTGAACTTGCTTTTTTGGGGTGAACATCGCTTTGCAATATCACCGCCGCAGATTCAAGGTGAGACTTTAACTAACGCTTGCCAGTTGCGTGAGAGCTTTGTTTCATAAATTGTGTAGACGCTGAGGTCCCAAGAAGTATATTGGGGCTAATGTATATTTGAGGTGGAAGCACGACAGAGCATATAGCAACCACAACATTTGCAACAGCAACCCAGCTATATATAAATACATCAGGATGCAACCCGTTCGCGGGCAGCTATAAAGGTTGGTCTATAGTTGTTGTTTCACGCATCATAGACATAATCTCACCCTGAACCTGGTACTCTGGCTCAAGATCAAAACAGGTGCATCCATAGTGGTAGAGACCGGTCGGTCACCCGCAGCCACAGTGTGTCAGCCGCATCGCCAAAGTATGGTACGTGCTTGTTTAGTTTACGCTTCGCCCCACCATAGAGTAGCGCGCGCTGTAAGAGCTATGGCTGAGGAGAGAGCGAGTTCAAGAGATGAACGCTCCCGCTCGGCTGACTCAAGAGATCGATGACGACGTTCCCTCGTTGCCTTTGGAACTGGCTCGCCCGCCAGGGTGGAGTTCGTGCAGAGACAACTAGACGGCGGTTGGCCCGAGAGTAAAAAAGGTGACGGTCAAGCAATTCCGAGTAAGGAAATAGCTAAATATCGAGATACAATCTGTTATGAAGTAAGAAGTTGCGAAGAAATTAGATTTAACATGTTAAGAGAAAAGATATGTAGAAAGAGAGAAAGAGAGGGCGGATGTGAAGGAGTGACAGTGTGGATGCGCAGGTGTGATATAGATGTGCAGATGTGTGGGTGTGTGGAGGTAGAGAGGAAGATCTGCGGATGTGAGCGTGTGATTTCGGTTTCAAAAAGCTGTTGTGGATCTCGGCAGGCAATGCAGGCGCCTTCTGCAAGGTGCCGGCCCACCTTGCAGATATCATTGTACCGCTCTTTGACGCGATCCAACAAAGGCTGTCGCAATCTTCCGACTTCAGATGCCTGCTCCATGGCTTTGAATACGTTCCTGGAGAAGCAGAATGCAAGCAAGGGCGTTTAAGAGCAAAGAGGCTACAAATGTCTCTGCCATGCATCGCATCAACGATTGCAAACGATCCCACGACAGAGGTAGACGCAAGCGGTAAAGACAAGATCACCATCGAAGACTCCGGATATGTGATTTCGAAAAGTTCGACAGCACCATGTCGTCAACGATGCAAGCAATCCCATGTTTGTGCAGCGAATTGTGTAAAAGTCACCAAAAAAAAAAGCTCGGTACCAACATGCCGTGAACAACGCGTATGATCTCATTCTCGTACGGAAATTTGCATGAAAGTCTCCAAAAAAGCTTGGTACCAAAATGCCTTCAAAGGCAGAGACCATGCATTTTTATGTGAAAATCTCCATATATATAAATATAAAAGCTCGGTACCGCAATGTTTGTGTAAATGACATCCAACATTCTCTCAATCTGACGTGCCATCAAGAAGGTATATGATCGCAATGTTGTATGAACAGTTTCCACAAAATAGGGAAAAACCTCGGTACCGAGGCTTCCAAAACGCGCGTTTTCCATGAGACATTTGCAAAAAGTGAGAATGAAACCTTCGCAACCGAGTATTTTCCACGAGACTTCTCAAAAAACGGAAAACTTTACCCGCATTCTGTGCCACAAAAACTATGAATATAAGCCATTGGCGCGCGTAACCTTCCAAGCATACAAAAAAAAGCAATCTCACCTGCATTTCGCACCCTCGACACGCGCGATCTCCGCGGAGAGTTCCGCGCGCCAAATCCAAAACGCAATCTCACCTGCATTTTGCGCCCTTGACGCTCGCGATCTCCGCAGAGGGTTGCGCCTGCCAAATCCAAAACGCAATCTCACCTGCATTTCGCGCCCTCGACGCGCACGATCTCCGCAGAGGGTTGCGTTTCGCGGTGCTCCGGCGGCGCCGCCCCGCCTTAAGAGAGAAAGAAAAGAAGAGCGAGAGGATCCGCAGATGTGAGATGCAGATGTGAAGATGTGAAGATGTGAAGATGTAGATGTGCAGATGTGAAGATGTGAAGATGTAGATGTACAGATGTGAAGATGTGCAGATGTGAAGATGTGAAGATGAGCAGAGATGTGGATGTGCAGATGTGAAGATGAGCAGGGATGTAGACGTGCAGATGTGAGGATGTGAAAATGTAGATGTGCAGATGTGAAGATGTGAAGATGTAGATGAGACGTAGTTCTACAGATGCTTTTTAC